AGTCTCATATTGTAGTGAAATGTTGGATCGGATCGTAGGATCGTAATAAAATCGTAGGATCGTGTTGAGATCCTACCACTCATAGTTAATATCAGAGTAGGTTCTTAAGATCCTACAACATTTAAGATCCTACCAAAAATCTGGATCGATCACGCAATTTTGGATTGTAGAATCGTAGGATCATTAATAGGTTAACGGGTCACTTGGGACTAATAAAAGCGAATACACGTTAAAGTTGGGATAATTTCAAGTGAATGTGTCAAATTTTGGGATTATTAAAACCAATTTTTCCAAAGAAAAAAGAAAATTAAAAAATGTAAAAAAATTGTTCATCTTTCTCTTCCTCGATGAAACTCAACTTCTTCTTCCTCTTTGATGAAACCCACCATCGTCGCCACCACCTTCTTCTGTTTTCTCGCCAGAGAAAGCACGATCTGCCCCTTACTCTTTGAAACCCATCACCGGCACCACAACCATCTCTCAGTCAACTTGCCGATCAATAACCAGGAAGTATCTCCTAGAACGACGCTTTGCGGTTGTAAACTGGACGACCCAACAAAAAGACATCCTTAGCAAAATGTACGTGAAGGGCCACCCTAATCCCTTAGGAAAAGCATTTTCTAAATGTCGCCGTGTGTGTAATACTAGGGTTGAGCAAAACTATCTAAAAATCCGAAAATCCGATTCGTAACAGATCCGAAAATTATGGATATTCGATCCGAAAAAATCGGATATCGGATCGGATATTGAATATCGAAATATCGGATTTCGGATATCCGTAATAAATCGAATATCGGATATCCGCTCCGATATCCGAAAAAATCATGTACATTAGAATTTTTTCACAGAGTACTTTTTAGTGATGACTTACTTAATTATATTTTATTTTTATTTTTATTTCTTTAATACTTCCTCCGTTCTTTTTTTATCGCATCACTTACTAGTTTAGGAAGTTTTTTCTTATTGCATCATTTCCTTATTAAGCAAATTTTTACCTACAAAATTACTTTTTTACCCCTCTTACAATAACATCATAACCCCACCTATTATTCTTCCTCCTACCAAATTAAACCCCTTTATACACCACCCAATTTTTTTTTCTGATAAATTACCTTAAATACATACAACCTTTGGACAAAGCCTACCCAATAAATCAGCCCACTTTTCGTTTTTTTTGCACAAATCTAAGTATGAAACCCTAGTTCTAGTTTGTTCTTGAGCTTTCTCACTTTCCTCATTCTCTCTCCTCCCTTCCTGCTTGAACAGCCGTTGTTTCCTCCTTCATCCAACTCTATTCCTCTTTCTCTCTCCTCTTGAAAGGGTGTGTGTCCTGCTCCTCTCTGCCTCGTTATGTTTCCTCTCTTCCTCCTCCTATAATGGATCTATCTCCCCTGAATGAAGCCCTCTTTGCGAGTGATGATGAAATTGAGCAGGGTTTCATTGTTGCTCTTTCTCTCTCCTCTTGAAAGGGTGTGATGATGCAAATTTGGTGTTTGGAATTTTTGAAAATTTTCAGTCATGAAAATTTTGGTGGGGAAACTTGAACTGAAATTTGTTTGGGAAATGTAAAGTATTTCCACTGTTCACTGTTTGTGAGTGGAAATAAGTCAGAAATTGAGTCCCCTTTTTGGGTAATACACGGATACATTTCACCTAAGATGACAGCAATTGTATAAGGTGGTGGGTCTTTTTTTTTTTTATAATACAAGGACACTTTTGTAATTTTACCACTACTAAATTTTACCGTCAAACCTCCTATGAAGCGATAAATAAAAAACGGAGGAAGTAATATTTTTCCCAATACCTAAACCAACAAACCCTAACTCATTCCCTCAAAACACCGCCCCTCTCTCTCTCTCATCTCTTTATCTTCTCTCTCCTCTCAAATCTCAAAGGGCAAAACTTTCATCCTCTTAGACCTCCTTCAGTCTCCACTGGCACCGACGAATTTTCCCGCCTGACTTCTCTCCGCCGATCGTTGCGCAACCACCAGCGACATCCTTCCACCCTCCTCGCGCAATCATCATCAACATCCGCAACAACAACCAGCTGTGGCGTCGCTCCCTCGAGCTTTAATTCCTTCCCGCAACCAGTGGCGGATCCAGGATTTCCGAGATAGTGTGTCACCATCAATTATTGATCATTTGTGAAAGTACAATTTTTTTTTCCATGTCTTGTTCATAATTAATTTCAATCCAAAACTTATATATATACATACATATACCAAATTGATTTCAATCCAAAAATAGGACACAAAAATTCATATCACAACCAAATACAATACTTAAGAATTCAATTTTACAAGTCAAAAATACTACAAATAACATGTTATAAACCAATGGTACAATAAAATTATTATATTGAATTAACTTTATGATTTTTTAGTTAATTGATAAGCTTTATGGGGAAATATTAAAATTGGTTGTACAAATATAAGATATAAAAGGGAAAAAAAATTATTAAAAAATTATACAAAAAAAAGTGAGATAACTTAAAAGACCAGTTATTAAATATAACTGGTCTCTTTAATGAAAAAGAAAGTAACGCAAAAAAATTGTGAAATGCAATAGCAGCATCAAAGAGACCTCTTATATAAATAACAGGTCTCTTTAATATATAAAAAAAACACACCAGCAATAGCAGAATCAAAGAGATCTCCTATCTTAATAAGCGGTCTCTTTGATATAGTTTGTTGTTACCACTAGCAGCATCAAAGAGACCCCCTATCTATAATAAGTGGTCTCTTTGATATTTTATTTTTTAAAAAAAATACTGTGTCACCGGACCCACTATGACTAAAGGTGGGTCTGCCCCTGCCCGCAACAGTGCAACACCTTTATTGATCCCCCTTTCACTCTTTCAGATCTCAAATCCCATCCCCTTTCAGATTTTGTTGTTGTGGATGATGAATTTGTAGCACAGGAGAGCGAATGACTTTGAAATTTCTTTATTTTACCATTTGTGACAGTGAGTTTAATAAATTTCTTTGTTTGTACTTTAGAATTGGATTTTAAAATTTCTAGTCTATTTATCTTCTCCTTGAATAGATTGTTGCATTGAGTTAATTTTTATGTTTAGAGAATTGTTGCAGTGAATTAATTTGCCATATAATTAGTATTTAAACATTAAACAATCGGATAATGGCGATCCGAAATATTCGAATATCGGATATCTGAAAATTTTCGGATCGTATTCGGATATCAAATATAGGAATTTTCGGATATGAATATCCAATCCGAAACGAACCCAGTTTCGGATCGGATATCCGATCTGTGCTCACCCCTGTGTAGTACTAGGGAAAGCATCTCCTAAACGCCGACGCCGCTTCTAATGGCATATATGCATCCTAAAGTCGTCAAGCATGTGTTACTAGGGGAGGCATTTAGTAAAACGTCGTTTCGCAAGTTAAGGCGGCTCCGCCGCCACTTCTCACCTTTAGGGAACACCTTAGTTGCAAAGTTTTGGTACAAATGACAACTTTATCCCCAACTTAATGAGTATAAAGTCAAATATACCCTTTGATATGTTTTACGTGTTTATCAAGGAGATAAACTTGTATATCATCTTTATTTATAGTTTTATACCTTTGGAAGTTTTTGAGGAGTTTTTCTTTCTTTCTTTTCTTTTTTTTAAAAAAAAATCATTCCTTTTATTTTATTATTTTTTTTTTTTAATGTAACACTTTAACCGACACAGAGTTTTATGTTATATGTAGTTAAGTTGCATTCGTTAAAATATAGTTTTATGTAGTAATGCTATATTTGTTATATAATGTTCTTAACATTTATTGTTTGCATAAAAATTAAAACAGATGAGAGGGTACATAAATAAAGTGGATAAAGTAAGAAAGAGAGCGTAAAAAGATGGATGGGTGCAAGAAAAATAGTACTCTGTAGTATGGTAAGAACGTTATGAAACAAAGATTTTCTCCGTACTCCGTACAAAATAATTTGAGCGGGAAATAAAAGTAGTTTAAAAGTACAAAGAAATATCAAGACAAGAAGTCTTATTGTTTAAGCATAACTTGGCTTTACATTAATTTCGTCTTATCCTGAAACACAGCACTTACAGCAGCTCCTTTACAGTAGACGCGAGCGATATGCGCGCTAAAAGGTGACATACACACACACACAGGGTCACAGGGTGCTAGAATCTAGAAAGGGTCTACTTGTAAGAGCAGCCATTAATTTTGTACTTGTATATTGCAGGATCAGCCACAAGGCCGCTAATGTGCTCCCAAATCTAATATTTTGTATACTTCATCACATGCTTGCTTGGCTGTCTCTTTGCACACTGCTGAATGTCTGCGACCCTGCGAGTGCAAGGTTCATATTCTGATACGCTGATTTTGTTCAGAGACATGTACCGATCTGCACAAGTTAATTAAGGGATTAAGCATCCTAAGCAAATAGTTACTGAGTAACATGGACATAACCATTCGTATCTAGACTTTGTTCTTTTGACCTGAAATAAAGTGTTTTGCGTCTAATATGGTCTGCTTTGATTTATTTTATACTAAACTTTGTTCTTTTATCTTGAAATAAAGTGTTCTACGTCAAATATGGTCTGCTTTGATTTATTCTATTATAGACTTTGTCCTTTTCACCAGAAATAAAGTGTTTTACGTTTGATATGGTCTGCTTTGATTTATTCTATTCTAGACTTTGTTTTTTTCACCTAAAATAGAGTATTCTACATCTGACATGGTCTGCTTTGATTTATTCTACTCTGGTTTGATCTGGTCTACTTGTCTGATATACTCTGCTTTGATTTATTCTATTCTGGTTTAATCTGGTCTAATTGTCTGAATTTATTGAACTTTTTTTCAAATCTGTTTCTAACCTAGAAATTAGTTTGAAACGGACGGAGCAAAATAACAAACGAGTTGGTCAAATTTTATTGATTAAAGCTTCACCTTCAGCCTATAAAATAGTAAAGAGCTTTGAAAAAATGGAAAATAAAAAAGGGGGAGAAAGAGAAAGGGGGGAGGGGGTGTTGCAAAATGTGAACAGAAAAAGCTCTATAAGAAATGATAGTAATGTGACAATTATCTTATTTACAAGATTGCATCTTTGGGGCCCCTACGGATATATTATAACAGGAGAACAACTCCCACTCTATACATGTATTCAGACAAAAATATTAGTAGCAATTTCCATCAACTCTAGTGACAAAATTGTTGGGGCTCCCCAATTACTCAAACAAGTGAGCCAATCTGGGCACCAGTAGACCAAAACTTGTAGGGCTTGCCTGAGGAAGACAAATCGCTATCAATTTTCAATTTTTCCCCACAGCCTTATCTGGAACCTCCAAGAGACGAGCAATCTCTTGTTGCTCAATTGTACAAGCTTTCTACAATAAATGGGATTATTAGTCATAGATGTCACCGTATTTGAGCTCTTCCCAGAGATAGAAATCCGAGCTCACTGTCAGTGTTCTGCATGCATAATAAGGTGTCACTAAGGCATTGCAACAGTCAACAGTAGTAGAAACAACAATGTACAAAGTTTTTCTAACACACTTGCAACAAGAGAAAATGTAAGAGCTCATGAACACATGGTGTAGCATGGTAAGTCCACGTGCCATCCCCCCAAAACAATATGGAGAGGGAGAGGGACTGAGGTCTGAGGGAAGCGTAATAACAGAAAAGATGAGCAAGACGCTGGCACTAGCAGTTGGGGTGTACAAAAAAGAGCATAGAAAAAGGGGCAGATCATGTAATAAGGGATAAAACCCATCCTCAGTAACTCAAAAACAAACTCCCACCACCTAACACTCACCACGCACTCTACAGTCATCGGCCTCAACGCTACCAACATGCCCAAACCATCACTCACTAGTCACTAACAACACAACCTTGCATACCATCATATGAAATCAAATACCATCAAATGGCACCGATATTGTTCATATAACAATGGCTCATCTATAACCTCCAAAAATAAAAAAAATTCCATATACCATCACCACCCATGTGATATACTGTCAGGAAATAACCCCAAAAAGAACCCTATTATTGTGAGCTGTACCACAAACACTACATCATTCTTGACCTTCAGGGCCTCAGAAAGTCAGAATTCACCCACCACAGTACCAAACCACCCGTGTATCTATTGTAAAATTTCTTTCACCACTGCATCTGGGTATTGATGAATAAATTCCACCCCACCACCCCAAATCTGAGCGATGGTGGTAGTATTTGACCATGGAAACCCCTAGTCTAAAAGGAAGAAACGATCACCAAACCCACCCCCTCCCACCCCGCAGAAAAAAAGCCGAGATTCTCCTCCACAACAAAAAATTCAGATGGAATGAAAAATGACAAGGCTTAGCCATATTTTAATGGACTTAACTCGCATTCAATTTCATGATACATAAGCTGGACTCCATCCATATTCAATAGAGGATGAAAGACAGCCGAATGAGGACATATTATCACTCTTCCCTTTATTACTACTATTTTTATTTTATTATTTTACAAAAAGCTTTTATGGGTAGCATTTTCAAAAAAGTGATTTAGCCTAACAATTCTCTAGGGTGTGCAAATACAGATTGTTATCAACCCAACGTATGTGAGGAAAAACAAATTATATAATCTTATCAAATCTGTATTATATCGGAAATAAATATCGCTGCAGTTTCTACTGATATTGAATACAATTAATCTCATGCATTTGGCATGGAGAAGAAAACCAACCTGAGACTTCGAAGAAGGGAAGACATTCCAAAATCTTAGTGTTTCATCTCCCGCTCCAGTTACGATGGTCTGAAAGCAGAAGCCATTATTAAAGATTCTAAAGTTAGGCATAATATTGAAGAAAGTGCTGCACAGACTACTCGTTACACAGCTTACATCCACAAAGTAAATTAACAAGCATAGGCTTAAAATCAACACCTCTAAACAAAAGGGAGTTAAATTAAAACTAGAATTAGAAATATCGATAATCACCTGCCCATCTGGTGAAATTGCAAGATAGAGGACTCTGAAAGTATGTCCTGTAAGAGTTGCCAGCTGCAGAACAAGAAATAAAAAAAATAAAAAAAGGTCAGACACTGACAAAATTCAGGTAATAGTGCATTGAACAGTCTGAAAATATTACCTTTGACATGCTAGGGTATCTCCATACAACAATTTGATTTTGGGAGTATCCATGGGTGCTGACAAGTTCATTAACATTTTTAGACCACACAAGGTTGCAAACCTGCAATAAAGATAAAAATCAAATTAAAGAAATGGTAAAAAAAAAATTAAATAAATAAACATAAACTACACACAGCAGTACAATACAATTAAGGATCATCCAATCATGACAGCACAATGGGTATTATTGAAAGAATTAATTGATCATGAACAGTAATTGCGATCCTACCCGAGAAAGCAAATTGAAAGCATCGTAAACATCTACACATTTGCATATTTTTTACCAAAGAAAATATTTGGAGTATATGCCCTGAGCATTTTTTTTTATTATTATTATGGCATATCCCCTTGTCACCACCACTATGACCATTCGCTTGTTACACACCACCACTACCAAACCCCCTCCCTCCTCTCCGAAAGCTCTTCTGACCATCGCTACCATCCAGCTGTCCCTTCTTCCCAATTCACAATCAATAGAAGATAAACAATGTAACATTGGGTAAAGAGGTACAGCCATACAAGATTTGAATTCAAGTTTCAGGATTTTGAACCATCATCTCTTTTAATTACTCTTCCTTTCTTATTTTCTTGTCTTTAATGCTTGGGTTTTGCTAAAGATGCTCTACTTACTTCTCTAATGCCTTTCCCCTTGTTACTAAAATAACTTTAGTTTGAAAGCATATTTTGAATAAGGTTACTAGAGATCTAAGCGTGTTTCCATTTTTCATCTGTCTAGAGTTCTTCCATCACTCTTCTTTCCTTTCTTTACCCTTTAGTCCCTAGACGAAGCGATGGAGGGAGAAAATGAATATTCAATGTAATGGCACTCTTTTGGTTGCAGGGTAGATCACATAGGAAAAAGAATGGAGCTCTAATATAAGGTATTGAGAAGTGCTAACCAAGGGAATGATCAAAATGAGGGGGCAGGATAGGGGTGGTGAAGATGATAGCGTTGAGAATGATAGTGATGAGGAAAGAGAGAAGGGATGTGACAGTAGTAATGAAGACAATGAAAAGGAGGAGACTCAATAAGACAAAGAGATTCATGGTAAAAGAACCCAGAAATTTTATGAGCAATGAAAGTTCCATCCGATTCAAAACATTTTTCCACTTAGCTACAGAGTATAAGGATAGTTTATCTAAGGCGAATCCCATTCATTATTCAAATTTCTATATTGAGTAGGAAGCACAACATTTTTGAAATTTATAATAAATGAAAAAATCTATCTTAATCTTTAATATACTATTCTGTGCTAACTTTTCTTTCTTTCTTTACACAGCAGTTTAACCGTACCCTTAATTTTTCATCCAAATTATTGGCTAAAATGACGAGGATATTTTGAGAAATGACCTTAACTACAAAGTTTTATAAATAACTTTCCTAAAAAGAATACGATTAATTTTCCATATATTACTTAATCAAAGGAAACATAACAATTTTTAACATTAAAAAAAAAAAAAAAAAAAACCCTAAGCATCTAGTAATACTAATAGCTACATGTCAATACATCAAAATAATAATCAAAGGAAACATAACAATTTTTAACATTAAAAAAAAAAAAAGCCCCTAAGCATCTAGTAATACTAATAGCTACATGTCAATACATCAAAATAACAAAAACTTGGTGGATGATTCCAATGGAAATTCTTGAACTTTTGACTTAACATTCTCCTTTACCAAGAAAATTTCATTTATATCTCTCATATGGATGGCGAAAAAAGAAAGTGTACATTTCTATTTAAAGCAAAATCTATCACTCTCCATCATCACAGATTCTTTAACTTTCTGTATCTCCATCCCCAAAAGTTTTCTTAAGTTTTCTCTCTCCACTATACTTCATCTACGTGCAAAATCCAAATGCGAGGTTTTTTCTTTAGGAACAAAAGGAGTATTATGTGATTTGAACTTTTAAATAATTCTTCATAGTATAAAGGCATTAAATTATTAACATTAATTGCAATCTATAACTTCCATATAGAGGATTATTTGACCTCGGTACATACATAGACACGAGGTGATAAGGGTATTACATAAACTCCATTAGGGAAAATATTGTGTGTTCCTTCTAATAATTTAGCAAGACAAAAAGCATCCATTCTTGTAGTCATCTAACAAGGTACTACAGGGCTGGGACCTGGATTTAAATTTTAATTGCTCATTATTGGCAGCTAATTAAGTCAATCAAATATAGGAAAAAACCTGCAGTATACACACAAATAGCAACCACCTTCTCCACCCTAGCAACCCCCCTCTCCATTGAAAAGAACATGCCTATCCACACAAAAGTTAGCACAGAATCTATACAGATTCTAAAAAAATTTCTACCACAAGCCAGCATCTATGTCCATAATGTTCTCAAGTCTAGTCTTCAGAAACCAGGGACTAAACTTCACACAATATACAGCTACATTATGACATTTTCATTCCGGTGGTTTTAGGGAAATTGAAATTGAAATAAATTTCAAATCTTAAGCACTCTAATCTCAAAAGTGCAAAACTCAGGCACTCCTACAATAGCCTACTCATTAACGACAACTGGAAATAAGCTATTAGTTCAATAAGTTTGACCAACTAATCTTGAAGGGTTGCAAAAGAAACAGTTCGCTGCTAATATATCCTCTTCATTCTTTATTTATTTGCTACACGCCATATATCCCCCTTTTCACATGTACACATATTTTTTTGTTCTTTCCACCATAAAGTGTAGCTTAATACTTTCAAACCATTAGCTTTTTGGAAAACTGCAAATGCTCAAAACATTTAAATGGCAATCTTTCTCCATCTTCAAACTTTACCTTTTCCTTCTCTATCTACTTGCAATGTACTTGGAACCGTTCAAAAATTCTTCATAATAGAAATCCATCAAAGAGATAACCTTAAGCTTGCAATCTACAGCTACCATTTAAAGATTCTAGGTACATGCAATGACATAAGAAATTACATTACTGGAAGCTTTTACATGTTCCTTCTAATTATTATGAAAAGCTATCCCAATCAAACACATTAAGGAAACTAAGAGCCATAAACTTGAATTCTTCTAACAAGCTACCACTGGTATAGGACCTAGTTTCGATTGCTCATTATTGTCAACTAATTAGGTCACTAAAATGTAGGATGCAAAGCGCAGTGTCATTCAAACTCCATAACCCAATAGCCACCACCCACTCCACCCTAGAAATAGCTCCCAAGCACACAAAGTTATCTAAAAAGGACCTCTGTATGGCCAATCTATACATGTATTAACTTCTCTACCACTGGCAACACCTATACTATGCCCACAATGAAGCCTAGTCTTGAGAGCTAGTTACAACTTCATACCATATTTACTTACATTATGACATTTCATCCAGGTCGTATACCATAATGCTTTTAAAGAAATTAGAATGAATTTTACATTATAAGTGCTCCATAGTGAAAGACTCTGGCACCCCTACAACAGTGTAGTCTTACAATTTGTATGCAAACGAAGAAACTAACAAGGTTTTTCATAAAAAAGCTCCCAGCATAAATTATTAGCGACAATTAAAGTCCAACAAGTTTGACAAAATAGTTTTCAAGTGTCGCGCAAGAAATTGATCTAGCCATTTTTACCATAATACAATGGTTGCCAAATTTTGGCATAGAGTGTGCTTATTACTGCAATAGACCATTTACCCTTAGGAAACCTTCAACTAATTAAAATTCAATGGTAATCTTAAAATGTGAAAAATTTCAAGAAATAAGTAAAGATAGAAAGTCACATAACCAGTAGAAGAATAACGTAATTGCAAAAAACTAACCTGACTACCAGTGTCCATGCATCCCAACTGTGAATTAGTCGTTGTGTTCCAAAAACGAATGCATCTATCAGCAGTACCACCACCAGACGCAAGAAGCCCATGAAGATGGGGAGACCAAGCAATTGCTTTAACTGCCGCTGTATGCTCAGAATACTTCAATACAGGTTGAGTTGAATGTAGGTTCCATACGAAAAGCTGAAAAACGCAAACATAATATAAGTAACTCAACCTAGGAACTTACAGCATTATTTCCACCCAAGATATAACTTGGTTAACTTACTCTATTGTCATTCCCGCCTGATGCTAGCTCGCGATTATCATACGACCACTTAAGCCCACAAACCTAAATCAATGAAAAGATTTAATCAGTTTAACAAAGGAACAAAAGAAAAATATTCAGTAAAGCATTTAATGATAAGAAAGTCACACCCTCATAAGGAATGATATTTTTTAATAAAAGCAACAAAATCAGGATAATTTGGCTGAAAAGCAGTTATTACAAACCTCTGACTTGTGTCCAGTTAATTTACTGACATAATCATCCTGAGCACGTATATCTCTTTGGAATATATTCTTATCTCGGCTGCCCGAAGACAACACAGAAGAACTCCATGCTAGTGCACCCACACGGAATCGATGGCCTTCCATAGTTCTAATCCTTTTGCACCGAGAGGCATCCCAAATCTGTTACAAGAAATGCCACATTGTCATATATTAGTTCTACCGATTCATTTAATAAAGCAATATATCAATCTCAAGCCTGACCTAATATTTTCAGCAAAAACAGAATTCAGTTAAACAAGCATTAATTACTTGAACTTTGCCGTTGTTTGTACCAACAGCTAGATGTGTCCCCCGCTGAGCCCATCCAACAGAACAAACGCTGTCATCAATCCCCAAGTCACATAACTTTGTCACCTGCTCATACACATTAATATCATCAGAACCCTCCTTACAAGTAGAGCAGTCAAGAAATGACTGTATACATATGCAAGCATCAACCAAGAACCCTAATTTAGACAACTTAACCAAATTAGGAGCATTGTCAGTGATCAGCAAACAGATGATATAATGCACACAATATATCAATTTCAAGAGCTTACCTTGCTACTGCAAGCATTCCACAAGTAAACGCAATTTCCTAATCCAACAGCAAGCACATTATGTGAAGACCAATCTACCAAATTCAAATAAAAATCGTCCTGCAATGCCGGTGCATCCAGTACCTACCACAAAAACACACCATCAAGATCTAACATTATACAAACAATCGCTAAACCATAAACCCTACAAAACTACCAATCCAACAAATCAAAATCCAATCAAATCATCAATACCCAGTAAAGCATAAACCCTACAAAACCACCAATCCAACAAATCAAAATCCAATCAAATCATCAATACCCAATTCTTGAACACCAATCAAATCAAACCCTAAATCAACATCGCGGCAAACAATCGGACAAAAGATCGCAAACCCAAAGAATCAAAATTTCATCCACATTAATCAAAATCAATCCAAGTTAACCCCATTCCCTAAAACAAACAACAGTTACAATAATACAATAACCTTAAACACCCATTAACACATGATAATCACATACCATAAAAGTTACAAATCCCACACAATTGGACAAAATTAACCCATACCCACAAAACCCCCACTATCAAAATACAATATTTAAGTCAATGCAGCACTAAATACCAAAATTACAACCAAATTAAAATCAAAATTATACCTTATAAGGAGACCTTGGTACTTTCCGGGGAGTTTTAACCGGGCTATAACTAACACCAGGGATCGAATCATCGGGCCCGAAAGGCATCAACGACGGCAATGGCCGCTTTGTCTCGGTCTTAAACCGAAAAATATTCCGATTTGGCGGTCCTTTATCCGGCGTACCAGGGAAGAACGACCCAGAATCCGGCCCGAAAAGTGCGGCCCGAAGAAGCGATGTATAAGCACTAGGAGAATCTTCACTCCGAGCCCCATCGGGCTGATTCTTACTACTCGGCGACGGCGTAGAAGACGGCGACGGCGTCAAATTGAACAGAGAGAAATTTGAAGAAGTTCTAGAAGGGATGAATCGATCACTCAAGATGGTTCTAGAAGGAGAAGGGTAGTGATTCGAATTGATCATTCGGTCGATAATTTGAGATGGGGTAGTGGGTCCCTCATCGATTTTCTTGTCCAAAGAGAGAGAAGGGCGAGCAATTTTTGAAGGGTGGTTGATGAGATAAGGCTTAGATGATGAAGATAGATCTTCATGCGCCATTGTTGAAGGTTTCTGAAGATGCAGATTTAGATTTAATGGGGTTTTTTTTCTGGGGTTTTTGAGAGAGGCGTGAAGAAGAAGATATAGAAAATAAAAGAGGGGGCAGATGAAGACGATAATGGGGGTGAGAAGATCTACACCATGTGAGGAAGAGTTGGTGAAGAGGAGAGAGAAAGAGAAAGATGGAGGAGAGAGAAAGAGAGAGGAGAGAGAAATTGGAGATTGATTTCACCTGCGAACTTTGTCGAGTGGCTGTTAATTTTTCCCGGGAAAATTAGGGCTGTAGATGAGAAGAAAAGGTAAGCTTTGCGGGAAAATTTTTACAGGGCAAAATTAGGGCGAAATGAAGGGTTTTTTAAATTATAGGAAAGTTTTGTGGTGGTTTTTGTTAAACATTGGTTTTTCTAGGGACCTTTTTTCAACCAATATTGGTAGTTTTTAGGGTGGGTTTTGGTTGCTTTACTTTACTTGCTTTTGTTTGCAATGTGGTTTTGGCTTTGTGCCTTTTCTTTTTGTATAGCACTTGGTTCAGCGGGAAAGTTAATGTTATACTAATTTAGATTCGAAATGAAAAGATGGAACAATTTTAATTGGTTTTATTTTTAGGTGGTATTCTGGTAAATAACTTGAGTTTGGGATCATTTCGTGTGCATTATTTACCCTTTGTGGTTCTTCCTACATTAAAATGAAGATGATATTGGCACATTGATTTGAAGCATAGTTTGTCATGAAAAAAGACGTAGGATTATGGGGTGTGTTTTTGTGTTTGGGAAACACATGGTCACTTTTATCGAAAAGGGTGAAAATCGTGGACTGTATGGGTATTGGATTATACGTTGGCTAATATGGCATGACACAAACAGTATGTCTCAAGCACCACATGCATACAATATTTGATTTAGGCTGAATATATTGATTTTTCAATACTTCGTATATTATTTGATCCACTTAATCGAATTTAGGTCATAATTTGGTGAATGGTAATAAAATGATCGTATTAAGTAATAATAAATGTATATAGAGTAATTTAATATCTATTTATTATTTTATTGATTAATAATGATTGTATCACGTATGTATATATATATATATATATATATATATATATATATATATATATATTATTCTAAAGATGAGAGAATTCGAGATGAGGTGTGTGCAAATAGTAACAAAGGGATAGAGAGTGGTGATTTTGGGTCAAGATTATAGAAGATTCAACGAAGACTTGAGCAAGAGGTAGGTCAATTTAGTGGAATGAGGTGAAAGAAGAAGAAGGATGAAGGAGTTTACCCTTAAGCCTTAACCTCTTATCTATCATTGATGTTGGTGCTCTAAGGCTATAATTGAAGAATTTACAGAGGTAGTGTTAACAAAGTACCCCCTCCCTTCATCCCTTGTTCCCTTCCATTATTAAGTAGGAAAATTATGGGAGTCGAGTAAAATATAGGAACATGAGCATTTAATGTAATATTACCATCAATTATTCTCTCTTAGTGTGGATTTAAATGTTTAACTAAAAACCATTAAATTACTTTCATGTTGGTAGCTCCCACCCCTCGGCTTAGATTAACACCACATGTATACTATGATTATTGTATGAGTACTTGGTAAAATTGACAACTACTTGATTATTATTCGATCCAAACTTCATCTAAAATTACACAAATGATAATTTTGGGTAATTATTATTTTTCTCCTACTCTGACAAGGGAGTGTCGAAGGATAGATGTAACCTACATTGACTAAAATTATGTTACATTAAAGGCTAATGGATTGTATTATGTCCTCTCTCAATAGCCACCTAGAGGTCCAAGATCACCCACACAACTCCCTATTGCATGGACTAGCAAGGATTTAATTCTTAAGCCTAGATCAAGCTAGAGAGGTAGGGGGTTTAACAATCTAGATTGTAAAATAATTTTCTTAAAATTCCCCCGCTACCCATTTATATAAAGTTATGTTTTAAAATCTAATAATACTAACCTATTTTGTATAAAAATAAGTGTCAGTTATGTGTATAGTGACTATTAGTTTATGAAAAAAAGAATTTTTTTAGCCAACGAAAAGGGTACACAGGATTTTATTTTATGTAAATTCGACTCATTCTATGTTATACAACATATATGTTGGAAATACGGATTTAACAAATACATGACAAATTTAATGAAATGTGGAGGAATCCTTCATCTAAATTCTAAAGTACAATAGTTAAGTAGATGTTGCACCATGTGATATCTCTCATAACTGCTGGAAGCCTAAAACATACAATAGCCTTTTTAGAGAGATGGTGTAACAATATTTTGTAGCCAAATGAAAGTTTATTTCACATGACTATATCCAAAATATTGACATATTTTGAGATCTCGCTTGATTCCTTATCAACTGAAAAATTACAATAATTAACCAGGGGGTAAAAAACTACTAAACATACAAAGTACTAATACAAGATAGAATAACTTAACCAATACTAGAAAAAGCTATCAAGGTAATAAGATAATAAGCTAATACTCTAATAGTATATTTTATGCATTGGTTTGGGAATAATTAGGCTTTTGAGGGGTTGCAAATCCCAAGTCATACAAATAGTAGTTAATTACTCAAATGTAACATGTTGTGTAGCTTCAATTGGCTGCCAAAATTGGCAAGACATTGGTACCAATGCAGCTGGCAATTGGTTACCAAAAATGTTTATTTGGTTAATAGTTTTGTACAAACAGCTAGGCTTGTGCCGTGTAGTCTTATGATCATTCACCTATGTACGTATGTTATTCCCATTTCACCGCACAACAAGGAAAGGCATCATTCTATCGATTTGGTCATATTATTCAATGAAACAAAAGTATAAGATACGTGGAACTAAAAGACTATAAGTCATCTAACAAAACATATACACATGTTTCATTCATAACACTCATCTATGTAATCCATCAATAGTACAGTTTTATTGTATTTGTGATCAACATGTGTGTAGTTATAGGGGGATCTATACTAGGGAAATAAACATTGAAGTTAGAGTAATCATATCTTATGTCCGGTGTCTGTATTATGTCATGAGTTGGATCGGTTCTTATTTGTACACGTTCAAGACAATTGATCTTTAGAGACAAATGTGGCCGAACTACTCAAAATTAGGGCTAGCAATGGATTGTGGGTGGATTGAATAAAGCTCAACTTGACTCCATCTGCTAACTATCTATCCTCACCCTGCCTAACCATCACTTGTCTTTTCATTGATTCGCATTCTATTTAATCATGTCCACGAACAGTTTAGGTGATCAATTAAATTGGGAAAAACAATTAACACATTGTTACACACTTAGTATTGTCTTAGTTACTTGACTTTAATAAAATACACAATTATTAGCCAAAAACATGAGGTTTGGTGAATTGGGGGATTTGAACACATTGTTACACACTTAGTATTGTCTTAGTTACTTGACTTTTATAAAATACACAATTATTAACTTAACTTAATGGAGTAGTGCTACTATTGTAGACAATACAACTAGATAGTTTCAACTATCCTTCTATTTCAATATAGTAATTACAATTTCTAACACAAGTGTTACAAATCAATGGTTACACTTTTCGTCTTTTCTTTATTTCATTTTAGGGTATATGACTCACCTTATTCTTTCAAAAAAAAAAAAAGATTCACCTTATTTGATTCATTTTCACTCTACCTTTTCTCAATTTACTTAAAATATTCAAGTTAACCTAATTTTTTTATTCTCTCTTTTTTTTTTCTTACAAAATACATTCCACTTAGCCAATTTATTAAAAATCTTGTCTTTCTTATATCCCTCTACTCAACTTATTATCACAACATTCCAAGTTTCGATATTTCTTTCTAACTTTCAGACCATTTCTTTTTGGTTGTTGTGAAGATCTCAAGTGTAACCATCAAAAAAAAAAAAAAAAAAGAAAGAGTATTATTTATGTTGCACTTGCATGCATGGTATTTGGAAAATGATGTAAACTTGCGAAATTAATGATAAGTGAAACGATATTTTAGGGATAATAATGGGTCCAGGATCCGACCAAAATTTGATTAGATTTAATTCAATTTTTAGGGTTTGGACCCAAGACCTTTAGCATAATAGATCTAAGTTCATCATGTGCTCTTGATCGGGGTTTGGCCCTAGGTTTAACAATTACAAACCCAAATTTGACCTATAGATTCGAACAATAAAAAGGATTTGTTTTTCATCTACTCCAATCTAGATTGATAATAAATAAATAAATAAATAAATAAATAAATAAATGAATAAATAAACCTAAAGAGTAACAAAAATCTTACAAGAATCTATATTGTGTAATAAACTATTTAAAATTTGATGGGATTGTGAATTGTAAGACTTATAACTTTGAACTTATATTATTGTGAATTTGTGATTTGAAATTATTATGTTTTAAAGATAGTTTTATGAACTTTCTTTTATATTCAAGACTTCCAGTAGTAGCATAGTCATACAAAAACAGGGGCAAATATATATATAAAATATAATATATATATGAGTGATTAAAAATTTTGAAAAAAAATGCCTTGACCCATTTTAGACCCTAGGCTTGTTACACCCATTGGATACGAATACGTTTTAGGTCTGTTTTATTAAGATCTAGCTCCTCTAGGCCGGATCTAGATCCACTTGATCATTCATGCAAATCCGGGTCTTGAATTGGATAGCTTATACATGCGGGTCTAGGTGTTGATCTTGTCAATTTTGTATATATAGTTCAAATCCGACCCATTGTCATCGCTACATATATGATGATATTTGAAATTTAATACTCTATCTGTTTACATATAAATGTCTCATTCTAACCATCACATATCTTTAATTATCAATAAGTATAAATCATAACAAATTAAGTATACACTGAAACGATTCCTAAACCAACATGACTATATTTAACCTTTTTTTATATAAAGCACCAACGAAGACAAAATAGTGTATGTGAATAGTGCAAAAATCAAGACAAGATATACTCCCTCTGTTTTTTTTATTTGCATAAGTTTGACCAGCATATTTTCCGTGACGCAACTTTGACCATTAATATATTATGAAACTAGACATGATGACTAATCTAATGATATATTATATAATAACATTTATTTATTTTACAGAGGTGAAAAAATTAAGTTAACCATGATATGTACATAGTGCAAAAATCAAAGTGATGCATTCATTTAAAAATAAAAACGGAGCTAGTATATATTTTGAAATGGAGGAGCACCCATTTGAGATATTTGAAGCAGGTAAACTGCTGCAGTGCTGCTATTATTGTGATAGAATCATAGAATGATTAGAAATTAAGAATCCAATAAAGTTGAAGGACATAGTTGAAAATTTTCATTTTCTTGTTGAGCCCAATAATATCATATTGGGTATATCTAAGAAATTGGGCTTCAATTTAGGCCGGTAACAAAAGCCTTTCGTGGCAGATGTTGAGATCTATTCTAAACAACCACTCACACATGATATGTAGTTATGTACAATTTGTACTATATTAAATTGACTCTTAGGTCTTGTTTGGCAAAATTAGTGGTAGCAAGTAGCTTTTAGCGGTCAGTTCGGGTAACTGTTAGATTAGCGAGTAGTTGTCAATTAGTAGTGGATAAAGGTTAGCTGTCAATGTAGCGGTTAATAGTATCAGTGTCTGCCAAAAGTAGCGGTTGAAATATTAAAATATAGTAAAAATACATGCATAAT